ATGTCCCGCTGTCCTCATACATGTCCTGTACCAGTCTTAACATGTCCTACTGTCATCATACATGTCCTGTACCAGTCTAACATGTCCTGCTGTCCTGTCAGATGCTTTTCCTAAATCCACAAAGACACAAAGTTCTTTCTGACCCTCTCTACAAACCAAGAAGACCAGACTTATTCTCTAATGTTTGTTTACTTTTCAGCACGTGTGCCATCATGTTTTATTGTAAACATATTTTTGTAAACATTGTTTTCTAAATCAGAGTTTTTAATTTACTCATTTGCATCAGTCATGATCAGGGATGATCGTTAGATCATTTAATTGTCTTCTAAAGTATAACTAACTGTGGCCTCAGCAAAGAACAACACGTTGGCTAGAAAAACTTGGTTTGATTTCATTTTTTTTAAAGAATTGACTGATAAGTTTTAGTTTCTTTGTCCAAACTAAACCTAATCATTAAACACAGAATTTGTGTTCAAATAACATTTCCCATGAAAAAGGCAAAGAAGAAGTCATGATGGCAGTGACTGTAGCTTTAAGCCCTGCGGTGTTCCTCAGGTGAACTGACCCGGTTGTTTCCCGTTTGGTCCTTGTAATAGATCCAGTTGAGTTTCTCGTCCAGCCGGTACTGAACGCTGTACTTGGTGACCCACTCGTCAGCGTCGCAGCGGCCCTGAGTCAAGATCCCCGACACCACCGTCACCTCCTGCAGGTCGATCTGCAGCCACTGACTGTTGTCCTGAAACTTGGAGAGCCACGCACACCTGCAGCACACACACACACACACACACACACACAGACACACACACTTGACTTGGCACAGGTTGACTGAGTAAATTTTCTTTCTTGGACCAGAACATACGGCAACAAGGACCATATCGAGCCCGCGGACCTTAAGTTTAACTCTTGGTGTCCTTTGAGGCTTACTTTTTAATGTGTGTTTCAGTTTGTCTTATAAATGGACCTGTCTGGTTATTACCAACAGAATGAAAGAGAAAGAAGCACAGATGTTGCACAGATGTTGATTTTAATCTTGTTAAAATTCAGAGATTGTTTTTTTAAATCATGTTGAAGGACGAAACATCTGAACAGATCTTTGATATGAACATTTCTAATGAGGACAAAAAGATTCAGTCGTATCATCTGGACCAGTTTCTTTAAGTGAGAAACGTTTCGTCCCCCATCCAGAGGACTTCATCAGTCTACAGGACATATCTGGTTTGGCAGGCCGTATTTGGATGTGGGACGAAACATTTCTCACTTAAAGAAACTGTTCCAGATGACACGATTTAACTTTTTTTGTTTTTATCTGGATTACAAACCTTTTTTTCTGGATTTTGTTTTTATCTGAGATTACAAACCTTTTTTTCTATCGAGAACATTTTCTGTTATTTCTCACATTTTTATCTCTGTAAGCCCAGCCATGTTGTTGTGTGTCTCTTATTGTTCCTCCATGTATATTTATTTATTTATTTGTTTATTTATGTTTGTCACAAATTGTCAGTAAAAGCAACTTTTATTCCCGTTGGGTGTGAAAACAAACAGACGTGCAGACGTTTGATTCTCGTCATGTGGATGAAATCAAAGTCTGAGCTGAGTTTTTCCAGCCTGGACGTACCCGAAGCCCTGGTTGTTGAGCCTGGCCTTACTCGGGAGCCATGAGGAGAACCAGCCAGTGTACTGGTCCTGGTTGGAGCAGGAGATCTGGTCTGAGTCCACGGATCCTGCCTCGAATCCAAGAGGCTTGTGATACGGACACTCTGCGGGGAAACAAGTTCAGACAAACGTTACGGTTTCCTGAGTGGGACGGACGGATTTTAAAGTCTCCACGTCACAAACAGGACCAGAAAATACCACAGAGCCCATTTGGACTCTGAACTCATCCATCAGCCCCCCTCCAGTTCTGAAGGCCCCCGCAGCCTAACTGTGACCCACATCCCGTCCTAAAAGCCCGCAGCTAATCCCGCCGTGAGGGATCAGAGAGGCCCATTAGAACCAGACAGATGGCGGCCATCTTCTCTCCGTGTCGCTCTCGGGTATTGACCTACACTGGTTTTAAAAAACGGGCTTCATCAGAACCTGTAGGCTCCGTGCAACAGGAAGTGTAGCGATCCACACGCCGGTCGACCAACGGCCTTCTCTGAGGCGTTTTATAATCCGAACTAGACGGACCCTCCAGACCCGCTTTTCTTTGGTGTTTGATCCCGGCAGAGTGAGGGCGATGATCGTCTGGAGTGTTTCGCTAGTTTATTTCACAGAAACATAAAAGTTTTATAAAAATGAAGTTGCCATGGACGCAGCTGCTCTTTGGTTTGTTTACTACAGCGTTAAGATCAGGAATAAGTTGCGTCCGGTTTAATCCCCGTATGACGCCGCTCACCGCTGAAACGTCTTCGTGAGTCGAAACAGCAGGATTATGTAACGGCACCTGAGCCGGTCAAGACAGAGGCTGAGCCCGCTTCTGGTTCTGCTGTTCAAAGCGGGGTTTTCCTCTCCACCGTCACCAATGTGCTGCGCAGGATGGAAAGTTGTGACAAAGTGATTTGATGCAATCTGCAGCTTCCTTGGATAAAATATCCATCCATCATCTTTACCCGCTTCTTCCTTTCCAGGTCATGGGGTCACTGCTGCCCATGTCAGAGAGGCGAGATCAATGTGCGAGAGGTGGGGGACGCCCTGGACAGGTCTCCTGTCCATCACAGGGACAAACAAAACAAACAGCCATTCACTCTCTCACCTAGGGACAATTTAGAGTCACCAATCAGCCTAACATGCATGTTTTTGGTCTGTGGGAGGAAACCGGAGTACCTGGAGAAAACCCACGCATGTACAGAGAGAACATGCAAACTCCACCCAGAAAGGCCTCCGGACCAGGATTTGAACTGGCAACCTTCTCGCTTGAGAGGCAGCAGCTCTACCAACTGAGCCACAGTGCCGCTCTTAGATAAAATAACTTTTATTCCTGATGTTTGTGAGTGTTTTTCTGTCCTGAGAGGACGTTTGTTGTGAACCGGTGCTGAACTCCGTTGAACTGAATAATTGTGACTGGATGTGCACCGCTCGCTGACTTGCATGCAAAATTAGTAAGTAGAGCTCAAAGTATGTTTTAGGGAAGAGTCCCAGCTACTACCACGCCCAGCTTTAGCCCAACATCTGTAAAAAAAGGACTCTGGTGGAGGTGGCTGATGAAAACCCGGGAGCTGAGTTGTGCTCAGGTGTGTAAACGTGACTCTGGATCCTCCGCAGGTCGGCGTCGTGGTGATGACTGGGTTCTGTGATGAAGATGATGATGATGTGAGTCTACCAGGACTCCTCGTGTTCTGACACCCTGATCATCTGCTGGACTCCTGGCTCTGGTTTCCACAGAGTTCGTGCCTCAGCTGATTCACACTCACTTTGTTAGTTTTTGTTAAATCTGACAGGATTCAGATCCGATGGGTGGACTTCAGGGTTTTTGGTGCATCCAGGCTGCCAGAGTCTCATCTTGATTTGTCCGTCTGTTTATTTGCAAACGTAAGAGATTTGAGTGAAATCTGATGAAGTGAAACCTCCTGACCTCCTCAGTGGAACATCTCTTCCTTTTTAAAGACACTGACTGGAAGCTGAGTGCTTCAGCCATCGGACCGTTGTGATTCTGCAGCTCCATCTGCTTCACCTCCTCTGAGTCCACCCGGAGGAGCGAGTCCACCCTGCGGAGTCCAATCTGGAAGCACCGAGCTTCTTTTCAAACACAAAAACTGCTCGTCTGTCTGCGTTTTACAGCCGACAGTGAAGAAACAATGAAGAGGAGCTTCGTTTTGCCTCAGATTTAGCTTTATAGCATCATTATTATTAATCATATTATTATTATTATTGTTGATATTTTTATTAATAATAATAACAATTGTTAGAAAGCAGTAGTGATGGTTGACTGGGTGAGGACTTGCTGTCTTCAGTAGGTTGGTCACAGATTCGTAGTTTGTCTCTCAGCAGGAGTTTAAGTTTCAAATCGAAGCTCCTGAGCTGCTTTTTATTGTTGAAGATGTTTTTTTCTCAGTTCAAGCTGCAAGAACTGAATCTTTTCCATCACTCTGTGTGTGCACAAAATATCTTTATATTTACATTTCCTACACACCAAGACAACTAAAACCTGCGATCAACTCACCGGGCATGCAGTCCAATCCTCTCACTGTGGACCCGCCAGCACCCAGGAAGGAAACCTCTGTGGGAGACTCTCCTCCATCGCAGTCACATTTACAGGACTTCCCGCTCCACGCCTCCGACACACCGGCCTGAACGACACGGATAAACCCCAAGATTCAAAGATATTTCAAAACCTTTTCAGAGTGGATGAGCAGAACAACTAAAAACAAACCATCAGCTGAAAACAGGGCCTGAAATGATCCAAACAGAAGCTAAAACAAGCAAAACAGTAGCTAAAGGAGGCAAAGCATGCTCACGAGTTAAACAAAAACAGAATTTATCACAAGAGAAGCAAAAGCTACAAGTATTAAAACAGCAGCTAAAAGAAGCAAAACAGATGCTATTTAAAATAAAACGGTAGCTAAAAGCTCAAAGGATTTAGTTTATAGCTCAAAGAAGCAAAACAGTAGCTAAAATTTGAAAATATCAGAATGATTAAGAACTGTACTGAAGTGGTAGCTAAAAGAAGCCAAAAATATCCCACAACTGAAGTTGATTTCAAAGAGGAAAATGTTTTTAAAGGAACTGAAAGATCTCTATGTATTTTGTTTTGGGGGGATTTTATTTTAAATAAAGTTAAGTCTTTTGAAAAATATAAAGTATATTCTATAGTATAAAGTATATATAATATAAAGTATATTCTATAATATAAAGTATATTCTATATTAAAAAGTATAAAGCATATTCTATAATATAAAGTATATTCTATATTATGAAGTATAAAGTATATTCTATAATATAAAGTATAAAGTACATTCTATAATATAAAGTATAAAGTATATTCTATAATATAAAGTATAAAGTATATTCTATAATATAAAGTATATTCTATAATATAAAGTATAAAGTACATTCTATAATATAAAGTATAAAGTATATTCTATAATATAAAGTATAAAGTATATTCTGTAATATAAAGTATAAAGTATATTCTATAATATAAAGTATATTCTGTATTATAAAGTATAAAGTATATTCTATAATATAAAGTATGAAGTATATTCTATAATATAAAGTATATTCTACAATATAAAGTATAAAGTATATTTTATAATATAAAGTATAAAGTATATTCTATAATATAAAGTATAAAGTATATTCTATAATATAAAGTATAAAGTATATTATATAATATAAAGTATATTCTATAATATAAAGTATATTCTATAATATAAAGTATAAAGTATATTCTGTATTATAAAGTATATTCTATAATATAAAGTATAAAGTATATTCTATAATA